GAAATGGGCGGGGCTTTAACCGGTATGTTATTTTAAGCATGCAATTGATATGGGTTGATCTGAAATTGCTATATTTTTTGCTGATAAGAAATAAAACTATTTACATGACAGCATCAGCATTGAGCTTCAGATCAATAGTTTTGATCATGATAACAAACGAACTACAAAACAAGTTTTGCAACAATGAATACAACACAAGTGGCTGCAATTATAAAGTAAAATGTAATGAACAAGAGTTTTCATCTCAACTACGGCTGGGTGATATGGGCCAAAAGTCATATCCCGATATATTTAGGCTGAATTTCGATATACAAAATATATCCCGATATTTTTTTCTGCAAAGTGAGAGCAAATGTTCAGTCAAAGCCAAATATGACATGTCACAAGTAGTTTTATTGAAACTTGAACATTTGCCAAACCAAATGAATAAATAATAAACAGGTTTCTTCACCTTAGGGCTGCATGATTATGACAAAAATCTTCATTGCAGATTATTCCCTTGGAATTGTAATTGTGATTTATTAATTGGTTTATTTATTTTGTTAATACAACGTTGGTATGAGCCATTACAGTCATTTAAAAAAATATAAAAAATAACACAAAGAAAAATAGGGGCATTAAGGGGTTAATATAGAAACGACAGTATGGTGAATAGTGAATACACAATACTAACAAGAACTGTTTATGAAACATGGAAACTGCTCTGGTGAATAGAATGAAAATCATAACTGCATTGCTTTTATTTCGTGTAATTTACAACGTAATGGTGTTGCATGCTCGTATAGCCTAGTTTCTTTTGCACTTTATATACAGAGGCGATCCAGCGCGCGCCACCGCATTTGCGCGTGCAATTGAGTGTGCGTTACGACTGACGTTACAGTATAACGGGTGACAGGACAGAAAGTCCGTTTTGCTGAGGTGGAAGACTTTATTTCATAACATAACATGCTTTAATCAAGCACGCAAAGTGGAAAAGGAGTGGCTGGGGCGCGGGGAGCAGTGCAGAGAGCTCTGGATCAGCACTCAGCAGCTTGCTTGGAGCAAGGATCATAGCGCAAACCTGAATAGCCTATATCGATATGCAATATGGTTTAATTACATATCACATTTAAAAATATATATTCTTTATATTGATATATCGCTCAGCCTTAATCTCAACATAACTTTTTTTTTTTTTTTATCCGAGCACAGATATTGACTCGAATTACTCGTATAATATTCGTACTCGACAAAAGTGCTTTATCCGTACCGGATACTCGTTTCAGCCGAGTATCCGGCTCAACTCTAATGTCTATGGACTCCACCCACTGGCCATATTTGAAAATGCTGAAAAAGTGGGCAGACCCCAGCAGAGATAGAGGGGACGAAATGCTAAAACACTCTATCCTGATCATTTTCAATACTCGCAATTCCAACTCCCGTGACTCGCTACAGTGGTTTTGACGAAACAAGCTGGTTTTTATACTGCCAAGTGCTTAGCTCGTACCAAGAGAGTGGTGAGCTGAAACCTGCGTACGTCACGAAATGCAGAACAACCAATAGGAAAATTCAACTGCAGTAGCCACCGTTCAACCTGAAGAGGGCAGCACTAAGACGTTTTTACACTAAATATTGTAGAAATAAAACACTTTATACACGAATGTCAAAAAAGTTACTCGAATTAATGACTGGTATTAATAAAGATCCATCTTACAGATCATTAACTAAAAAAAAAAGTTGGTTTAGTTACTCTTTAACACACGTGTTCGTACATCCCAACAAATTGAATAATAAAATTCAAAAATAAGTTCCAAGCAACCTACTTACTGACTTGACAAGGACATTCCTTTACAATTCCATCTCATTCCACTGTGCAAGAACCAGTAAAACATAGTATTAAGGTGGCAGGTAATAAATAAAGAAGAGGCAATACATGGAAATAGATGAAGGAGCCACATTATGCAAATGTAAAGGTGCAGAGGGAAAAAGGGGATTTGGTAGGTTTGACGCACCACATGGAAGCCCAGTCTAATCAATGGCTTACAGCCTGCTACAGTATAAGGGAAAGCCATCTAGATCACTTGAGGCCAAACCGGTGCCCGAAGCTGTCAAGGAGAATCATATTCCACTACAAAAATATCTGCATGGCTGGAAGTAGGTTCACAGATAATGAGTGGTTTGGTCCAACCGACCTGAAAAGGGAATATTGCGTTGTTTGCCTTGCGCAACAGTCGATTCGTTACTGTTTTCGTAACCTATGGATCTGTCATCCAGATCACAGACTCAATTGCTCGCTGACTAAACGCTTTTAGGCTATGCTCTGCGTAGCAGTCCGTTCTTGTTATATTTGGGTCCCTGTAACCTATGAAACAGACTGAAAGCTCTGAATGATACGACTGCATAAATATTCCTTTATAGCAAAGCTAACAGGGCCACTTAATTAAGCTGGACTTGAGAGAATCCCAGGGGCATGACGAAAGAAAATTAATGGTGACATTGAAGAACTACCTTCCTGTGCGTTTTCTCCTTCCCTTCACGCTGAGACTTCACCTTTCCTTTAGCCCTTGATTTCTTTTTCTTTGGGTTTACTCTGCGGAGGAACACAAAGGATGAGGTAGGGAATATGAGACAAAAGACAAGCATATATGGGTGGGAATAAATGAGAGCCGAATCCATATAACGGCTTTAAAAATAAACTTCTCCCTTCACTGGAGTGTTTGACAGTGTGCCAGCAGGCTTCGTCACAACAGGCTGCTGTCAGCAACACTTACAGGTGTTCAAGTCTTTCATCAGATTAATTGCAAATGCCAGAGACGGATGGATGTCCCCGGTGTTAGCGCGCTCATATAATGCGGTAGATATCAAGTAAGTATAATTTATTCATAAAGAAGATGAGTACAACTCTCTGAATAATGAATGCAAGCTCTCTGGCACTCAGTTCACACTTGGTTAGATTTACGATTTCTGGTGCACATCATTTGTTTGGGGGGCTCAATTTGTCTCCATCTTTCGCAGTAACACGAAAGGCGTTTCGTGCTGCAAAGTGCAGCGCTGTGTATAATAATGTGCAGCTGTTGTTTGTGTTGCCATTAAATAGCGCTTATTCTCAGTTGACTAACAAATGTTTAGCCTAGCCGTACACTCATATGCAGACTTCATTGATGCATTAGAGGTGATGTGTGAATTTGAAGAGCACAATTACAGGATGTCAGGAGGAAGTCAAGAACAAGAGTTTCTCTAGCCCACAGAATATTTGGACAAGTGTTTGGGGATGTGATGTGATTAGACACGCAGTGCAACATTTGTTGCTGATGTTGTATAAAGGGCCTAGTGGTGCGATGTAATTTTAATAACAGCTGTACTCACGCAAATGCATCTTCACTCGAGCATGGATTGTCATTCAACTCTTTTTCCATGGCTTTCACAGAGCTTGAGTTCTCCGCCATTCCTAAAATGTTGATGAAAATCAGAAATGCAACAATTTTACAATATAAACCTGATATGAAAGCCAATCAGGTGTCTTAACTGGTTCACAAACTAACGTTACACAAAAGATAAAATGCACTAATGGAATCAAATCAGTAAACATTAATGTAACTTTACAACCAGAAAATCCGTAGATTGTGCAGTTGTTGTGAGTCCGCGTGGTTCCTAATCATACAGACGATCCACTGGTTTGAGGTTTTGATGTCGTGGGTATTTTTTAATCCAGTTTATCCTATCTTTAAAATGTCGTTGTAAAATTACCTGGTTCAACAAATAATAATTTAAAATCGTTTAAAAAAAAGTCGCATGTGAATTTGAAAGGTCTCGGACTCGGAGTATACAGTATAGGCAACTGCAAGCGTTAGCGCCAAAAACAAAAAAAACTTTCCAAAGTCCAAACAGGTTTCCCCAAATGCGTCTGCCATGCCATTGGTCGGACAAAAAGGTATTCCCGCCTCAAGATCACGCCATTGGTTGATTTTGTTAGAGAGCCGTCTCTACGTTTTCTAATTGGCTAATACACCGCGGTTATTTTCCTGTCACAGAAACAACACCATAGACCAGAGCCATGTATTGAGATGGCTCTGCCATAGACGAACAACACGATTCCGCAAGAAAACACTCTTCAGAGAAAGATAAGAGTGATTTCTCCGGACAATAACTTTTACAATAATGTTTAATAATGAATTAATAATCAAACAAGGCAATTTCTAATTTATAACTTTATAGAATAATGTATTTGTTTATTCATTCATTTATTTACTTATTTTTGCTTTACATAGCCTACTTTTTACTTTTATTTTTACTTTTACTAAAATAAATTTATCTGGGGAGTGGGAAACAGGGGTTTCTACCCTTCAAAATATCAATTTAATCCCCTGGGTGCAGGTTTTCAAACATTATCGGATCAGATTGGATCAAATTTGGAAAATAAATTGTTTAAAAAAAATTATTCTGAAATCAGATTAGAACGCTAAATCCAATCTTGGTTTTGATCTGGATCAAATCACCAGTTTGTGTTCAAAAGGTTTTTAGTAATTGGGATACCTTTGTTCCAATGAAGATTATCCCAGCAGAAGGGTGGATTTCAAACTGGTCAAAAATAACATTTTTATAAAGTAATACACACACATTTTTATTTTTTTTTATTTTTTTTTTTTACTCTTGATAGCCTAAATTTACCTGTAAAAGTAATAAATTAGAAGTAGACATGCTATCAAATCTTTTGGTAAAGTAAACATGAGATTTTGGTGCCATAAATAATCAAACACATGTAGATATCAAATAAAAATATTATATTTAATTTGAAGTTGTTTTTGGGGGTGATTCAATCCAATTTTGTTTTGAAAAACCATCAAAAATTGGGAAAAATATGACCTGATCCTGTATAGCACAACATGGGGTTCCAGACTAAACTTTTTGAACAACTGGGTAATGGTTACTAGTGTTATAATTTTTTTTATAGCGTTTTTTTTTTGTTCAAATTTGTGAGTTTTTAGGATAATCATCACACAGAATAAATTGCACTTTGTACTGGCATGCATTTGACATAGAATTGTGCGCGTTCCCTTTAAGAGATCCCGGAAGTTCAACATTGTATACTAGGTAGTAGTGATGGGAAGTCCGGTTCTTTTCCGCGAACCGGTTCTTTCGGACAGTTCGTTTTAATGAACCGGTTCAAAAAACCGGTTCACCAGTTCTTTTACGTCATCACGTAATGACGTCAATTCTATCATCCTAGCGGATAAAACTACTTCAAATTACAGGCATTTTTAATCATAACTTCAGTTAAATAATAGTACACATTGTCATAATCATCTTGGATAAGTTTCTTACATTTACATTTTGAAAACGAACCTGCTGCAGCCTAGGCGATGTGCTAACGCGGATGTTTTACATGTTTTAAATATATAAAATGCATAAATGGTCTTCATCATTTTATTTGTTATTAAATAAACTTACATTTCGCCGATTCGCCCTCTCATTTAAGTCATGGGTTCACCCGTACTACTGCGTGCTCGTATATCAGCACAGGATCAGCCGAAAGAAAGTTCTGTTCAGAGACGGCGCTATCACGCATGCGCAGTATCTCCAGCTCATCGGTTCTCCGTATCGAACGTGTCCGAAAGAAACAGTTCTTGGTTCTGTACTAGTGATTCAAGAACTGCAACAACCAGTTCTCGACTCGAGAACCATAGCATATAGGCCTGTGTGCTGAGCTGAAACCTGAATATACAGTCAAAACTAAAAAATCGATGCATGTCTGTCTCCAATAGCCTTCTGTAGCCTATATACATATCATGTTTATAATGTGTTAACATAACGAATTAAACATGTTTAATTCGTTATGTTAACACATTATAAACATTTTCTAAGCAGTGCACCATTAAAACCTTGGCAAGAGTTTACATCAAAGATTTTATTGTTACTAGAAATTAAATGAGCTGTTCCTGAAAATATTATATTAGTATAATAATAAATGTTTAGTTTGACAGTTTTAGAATCCAATCATTGTTTACAATCGTTAAAATAATACAGTGATAATACAGTAATTATGTGATAAACATGTTTCCAAAATGTTTTATTTTGTTACACTTACTGATGTTCAACTAAAGACATGGAAACGTAGCCTACATTTCGTCCCTCAGAAAAAATGCACGCATGCTCAGCTCATCAACTCATCAGTTCTCAGTATGTCGAACGGGTCCGAAAGAAACAGTTCTCGGTTCTGTACTGGTTATCCGACCGCTGTACCTGTACGTTCGGTAGCACACGCATGCGCAGTATCAGCTGCTCGTGCTCATCACTTCTCTCAGCACCAACATGTCTCCGTTCAGTGAACTTTGAGTTACTGGAATAAAATATACTTTTGGATATTGGTTTATTTCGATTCGGAGGGACTGTCAGGCATGTCTGAAAGTGAGTAACTTTAGTAACTTGCGGTTTAGCGCTGACGCAAGACGCGAACTGTTTCGGACGATTCAGTCCGATTTAGTGTACTGGTTCGACCGGTTCACTAAAAAGAACCGGTTCAAAAGAACGATTCGTTCACGAACCGGCCATCACTACTAGGTAGGTTTATTTCTGGTGCGAATCTGTCAAGCGCGCAATGACACCTTTCTATATAACTACAGCCGCGCGCTCTTTGCTAAAGTATTATCGACACAGAGCTGTTTTAAAAACGGTCCCGGGACTCAGAGCGTGGGAGTTCAGAAACATGTATCCATGCACTTCCATCGCAGAGCACAAAAGCATGGAGGAGATCTTGAAAAAGACAGTGGTCCCATTGCCCACCTATGAGATGAGAGACAAATCTCCACCTCCACCTGAATCCAACAGTCTGGAGTTTATGTTCTTCTACAAGAGTTTAGAGAAAGAGCAAAGACTGGAGTTTCTCGCGAGGTTGTCTCATGATTTCGGGGTAGATCACAAATGGGCTTTGGATCTGGCTGCGAAGTTGCAGGACACTCAGTTGCGGGATGTGGCCACGATCCTCCAGGTGGAGGACAGGTTACGGTACAGTTTAACACCTCGGTACCGACAGCTCCTAACCCACATCAGCAAGGTTCAGGGAGGGGTGAAGTTTCTGGTGGACCTCAGGGCAGATCTCATCGAGTTCGCTTCTTCAAAAATTAGTGACAGCCCACATATGAGGGTAAATACTCATCATACTCAAATATTTCATCGTTTTATGTATAAAATGTAATTGTTTTTGGGGTCATTCTAAGAGAAAAAGTGCATGTCCTTCATGCAGTGTCGTGGTTTAAAAGTAATGTTGCAATACTGGGTTACTCCTTTTAAAAAAGTCACTAATTGTTTCATTTTAGGGAAAGTACAGGTTACTTTTTCTCACCTGGGTTGGGCTTGCTTTTTTTTTTTTAATACCAAAAATAATGGCTAAAAACATTTTTGGCAAAAAAGTCTCATTCACACACCTAAAGTGAAATTATTATTTCATATTTCACACCAAAATTGAGACGATCCACCACACACACAGGCTCTGCACCTTACTCTAAAATACACGAAAAAAAATAAATAAATAAAAATAAACCTTACTCTAAAATTCTCTATAAATTAGAAAACAAAGTAACGTGCTTTACTTATTTGAAAAAGTAACATTTTTATGTATTCATTTTAATTTGAAAGTAATTTGTTACTTTAATACTTGAAAAAAATCGTCTGATTACGTAACTCTTTTGCTTGTAATGCGTCACCCCAACACTATATAAAGTTGAGTTGTGTCCACAATAAAGTTGAGTTGTGTCCCCTCCCCAGGCTGTCTCTCAACCTTTTTTTTTTCTTTTAACCATTAACAGTTTCTTATTTCCTCTCTCTGTTTCTGTGATTTTGTACAGTAAACTTGCTATCGAAAATGTGATATAAATGTAGAAATATCATCATTTTTTGCTGGCATGGAATGACCTTTTGGCTTTTCAGATGGTGTCAGTGAATACTGCATTCCTAAAAAAAGGCTTTGGTTATGACATGGCATGGAAACTTGTGATTTGCCCTTTCCCCTACTTTAGATCCTGGTGGTCTCTGATTTCACATTGGTGGTGGTGTTTGGTGCCAGATGACCTTAGTCCCACATTTGTGAACGTCACAGGCTTCAGCTGTGACATAGTTTGTAATGTTTTGGTGCCATATATATGTTTGAATTCATGGCATGCTGTTTTAATTTAAGTCACAACGTCACATGGACACATGTCTGTGTACACAAGTGAAAAAGTCTTCAGTGGCCAACATTTTGTTACTGTTTTAGCTCCTCTAAATTTGGCTAAATTGACACAATTTCATACAATGTTTTGAATGATTTGTTCAGAAATCAAGAATAATTTATTATGAACCTTATGCTTTTAAAAATGTATGATTTGTATCCCTTTTTCCCTGCAGAATTCTGCAGTATTGTAACACTTCTTGCCATTCCCGAAATGCAACAAATCCCCTTGCGTGTTTGTGTGTTAAATATTTTGGCAAATTAATTTGATTATGCTTTCAGCTATCGGCAAGCATGCTTTCAGCTTCATTTTACACATTTACCGTGTTTAAAATCCTTTCTACAGAACCCCGGACATCTTTTACCTCAAAATCAGTGTAGAAAATGTGAAAATAGTCTATCTGAGAATAAACCATTCATTAGTATTCAAGTCTGGTTGGGCCATTGCAGAATAAAAACAAACTCATTTTACTCCTTTTCAGAATAAAAAAAAAAAAATACCTTTTTGTGTACCGGTTTTCCTTGTCCTTTGGATAATTTTCCTGTTGAACTCAACAGATTGGCACTGTTTCTCCTCAAAGATTTGTCTGTAATTGGCCTCATCTGTAATGTCCTTAGCCGTGATGGCAACAATATAGAAAGATGAACTGTAAAAGGTTCAACCAGGCGCTCAGGTAAAGTTATAAAATCCGTGGTAGGTGCTCTTGGGGTTGGGAAAAGATCCAAAGAAACAAAACGCAGTTCCCAGGCACTCAAGTTTTCAATTAAGAGAGGATAAAGTTAAAAAGCCTTTATAGTACTAAATAAAGGTTTTTTAACTTTATCCTTCTCCTCATTGAAAACTTGACTGAGTGCCTTGGACCTGCTTTTTGTTTCTTTGAATAATACAAAAGAAAATGCCATGCTTCACACAACATACTGTATACTCTTAAAAATATACTATTTTTAAAAATCCACAAAGAACCTTTAGTATCCATGCAACCTTTCCATTACACAAAATGTTATAGTGGAAGAAGGTTCTTCAGATTTTTAAAAAGACAGCCTTGCTTTCATTTGAACCATTTAATGCGGCATCTTCTTTGAAAAAGTTCTATGAAGAACTACTGCATGTTGGGTTTCATGTGATTTGAGTGTTTTGAGGCCAAGTAGGTCATCAGACCAATATATATATATATTTCAGGTGCTTTTCAAACATCAGTATGATATTCTCTGCCTTTTTCAAAAGTGAGCTTTTCTGTGAAGTGCAAAGAAATCATTGAAGTCTGGACAGTTTCCCCCATTTCAGCCAAAGAGATGTGCTCTAAAGATGATACACAGGGCAACTTTTTGAGCACTGTTGGGTAATCTTGCAAAGCGATTGTTGCTTGAACACGTTCCCATTGAAAATGGGCAATACATTTCTATCTGGATAATTTAGGTTGGTCGTGGGCCCTGTGTCTCATATGGTTGCCCATTGACGGCAACAATGCCCAGCAACAATACTCAAAAAGTTGCCCTGTGACTGTGTATCATCACCTTTAGGGTTGTAGACGGCCTCTAGGTCACTTGCACAATATCTTGTCCTGGTGCTTATTTTTGAAGCAGTCTAAACTCCAATGTATTCTTTAATTTTAAGAGTAAATGCCCAATTTTGTCACTAGGAGCTACTCTTTGCATTTTGATTTTTCATGAATACGCACCCTGGCCGTATTACTAAAAAAAGAATATTAGTGTATTGCTTACTACGCTGGCTACTATTTCTTAAAAGTAATAAGTGAAAAAGTACTCAAGTACTCAGAATTTTAGTACTTTTGCACATACTACTTTTAAGAAATAGTAGCCTTTTTTCTTTAAATCCACATAGAATAATCTTTTTGTTCCTCAAGAAACCTTCTATGTGACAGTTTTAAAAGAAACAAATCTTTTTCTTTGCATTTTTAAAGAACCTTTTTCACTATATACGACCATTTGTATGATACATAATTACCTCATACAATTTCAATTTAAATATGTTGTAATTTGACATATAATCAATGACATCTGAATACTTTCTGAAAGCTCAATTGATGTCAAGCTGACATTCAGCCAAGCAATAATTTGGTCACATGACCATTCATTGTGTATTCTGCACTTCATTTAAAAGCCCTTTCACATGTTGCTGAGTGTTAGCACAGCTCTCAGCGTTGGCTTCCCCTGCTTCTCTCTATCTATAATAATATTGCATTACAGCATATCCCTAAGGAATGCTTCAGAGAAATCGTCTGGCACACCTCCAGCCCACTGGGCCCTATATCAGAAATCAGATTATATGTCATTAATATGTCTGAGTTAGTGATAGTGGGGTGAAATAGCAGTAAGATTCAGGGTAAGGAGGTTTTCGTTTACCCAAACTGAACCATTGCAATTTTCAGTAAAATGTTTTCAGAAAGTGCTAAAAAAATACATAGGATATTATTAGTACATGGGCTGGAATGAAGTGTGACATTGCAAACCATATTTTCTTCAACATTCTTACTGCTTCAAATTAATAATCAGGAATATATTAGCATTTATTTAGCCGGTAATTGTGAATCACTTCTCAAGATTGGTGTAAAAATAAACTGTTTTAATACCTTAGTATTAAAAATGACTACAACACCTCTGATTCACCGACAAAGAGACTGAAAACTAGATCCAAAACCCATAAACTGTGAACTTGCACCTGAACTGATTTAGCTCACCTCCTACCAGCCAGAGTGCTGAAGGGCAAAATGCATTAAAACGACAATAATCGGTCAAGACAGAGAACAGCTAAGATGCTGAGCTTTGCAGTAAACTTGAATCACACATCCCAAACTCTCCCAAGCAGAATTATCAGGATCCCAAAGAAATGTCAGTTCAAATCTCTGGGCAGGTGGATCTCTTGATATATAATCGATAAAAACATGTAGTCTGTCTGGACTCAAACAGGTGTCCTGCAGATCTCCTCTGAGTCTGCATTGTTTCGGACTCTCGGCAAGCTTTCCACAGTTTTCCTCAGAACAATTTAGATTGACTGCACTGATTTCCCCTCTGCAATATTAATGATTGAAAGTTAGTTACAGTGGGTGCCTTGTCAGTTAGCCATTTACATGTCCATCCTCAGTCTATTAGTTTTGACGTTAGGTTTATATTATAGCAGTCTGCTCGCTGAAGCACTTTAAACAGAAAAAGAAAAAACTCAAATACAGCAATATGTTGATTTGATTTACATCTACTACATGCCATTTTCAACATATTTTACAAAGCTACATCTATGATTTTAATATTTTGAAAGTGTTAACATTTATGTGTTTCTTTTGGTGTAAAAAAAAATAGAAATAGCCTATTAAACAGTTAAGTTGATAAGAAAATAAGTTTTCTTTTATTTATTTTTTTGCTATTAGGATTTCACACAAAAATATTGTTTGGACCCTAATGACTTTCAATATATCTTCTTGTGTTTTTTAAAAGGATAGTTCACTTTGAAATTAATTTTTGATATGTTTTAGCTTATCTCAAGGGCATCCAAGATGTAGGTGTCTTTGTTTCCACAGTATTTTCAATTTTGATATTTTTAGGTCAAAGCGTTCTTGTCTGTCAGTCATATAATGGAGGTATATGGGGTCCACCTCAAAGAGCATGCACAGAGAAGTCCAAATTAAACATGATTTAATGACTCGTAAATTTAAGTACACATTGATGGCCTAAGACATGAAACGAGTGGTTTGTGTGAGAAAATGAACAGTTACATTGTTTACATAGAGATTTCGGAAGCGCTATACCTTTCACTGTGAAGAAACATATTTAGATATACAGGAAATCGCAATGGAAGACGATTTCGATATATCAACAGACAACGTTGAATTTTTTTCGCAACCGTGCGAGAGATCATCGGCGCTTTCCAGCGCTTGTACAGGCCGATGCGCCCGCGGCCTCAGGTCACTTGGACGTGACTGTGATTACAAGAGGTAAAAACGATATAAATACTGTTCATTTTCTCACACAAACCACTTGTTTCGTGTCTTAGGCCAACAATGTGTACTTACATTTACGAGTCATTAAAACATGTTTAATTTGGACTTCTCTGTGCATGCTCTTTGAGTTGGACCCCATTTACTGGCATTATATGACTAACAGACAAGAACGGTTTGACCTAAAAAAATCTAAATTGAAAATACTGTGGAAACAAAAACACCTACATCTTGGATGCCGTTGAGGTAAGCTAAAACATATCAAAAATTATTTTCAAAGTGAATTATCCCTTTAATGGAGGAAAGAAGATCATACAGCTTCAAACCACTAGAGGGCGAGTAAATGACAGAATTTCAATTTTTTGGGTGATCTATCCGTTTATGTCATTTATATATTTTACAGCATATTTTGCAAAGCTACATTTATGATTTTAAACGTTTACTTAAAGTCTTTATATATGCATTATATAGATATGTATATTGAATGTTCTAATGCATTATATGTTTTCTTTAAAGGGATTGTTCACCCAAAAAAGAAAATTAGCACATGATTTACTCACCCTGAAGCCATCCTAGGTGTATATGACGTTCTTCTTTCAGATGAATGCAATATATATATATATATATATAAGTAAATCATGGGAATAATTTTCATTTTTGGTTGAACTATCCCTTTAATTATTGTACACAAAATCCATTATAACATTTGCAGAATTTTTGTTACATCTGAAATTCCTTGTTTGTCATGTCTTTAATGCATTATACTTTCTAAAGGTGAGTTCAATGATTAGATAAGTATTATAATAATGTATAGAAATGTTAGTATTATACTGTATTATAAACATTATAACTGTGGTTACATTTATTCATAAAACCATACAATACATTATAAGGTGGTTTACTGGGCATATGTAATGCATTCAAAACTTACAAAGCATTACATAGAAAGTGTTACCGAGTAGTTTTGTGAAATGCTCACGGTGTAAAACAGACTTTCATTTTATGTGTGAACGGGTATTGCTCTAATGCCATGATCTCTTCCATTTGCACCTGCCTTCTCCACTTTTCATTCATGTCGGTTAAATCTGAGAATGTCAAAGGCCCAATTTCACGTGCCGTCATTGACACGCAGCAAATGTTCTCTGCCCTTTTAATTTAAAGCGTGGCAAAGGTTTTTCTAGCACTTCGGTGGGATTAATAATTTGTGATCTCGGCATCTGCCTTGATGCTTAGTTTAGTTTGAATTCGATATCTTCCCCTCTCTTAGACATACAAGAAAATATATGAAACGGCCCAAACAATGCGGCGCTTTTGAAAGTCGTGGCCTGCAGTGCGATGGTACATATCAAAGTTGGATATATGCAAGCTTGGCCCCAGAGTAAATTCAGCCGTGTAAGCAAATACAACTCTTTTTGAGGTGAAAACTTTCAGCCGCCTTGAATTTAAAGGTAGAACATCGAATAAATGCTTAGAAGTAATTTCCCAGCCCAGAGAGGATTTGATGAGTTTAATGTTAAGTGGAACGACTTCTGGGGCAGCCATAGGCTGTGGATTGCACCGAGTAAAGCTGAGACAGACAGAAAAGCAAAATGCTGTAGACTACTACTCCAGTTTAGTCCCCAATGGCCTGCTTTCCTTGAACAGCCATCCCGTTTTCAAGAAACACTGCAATCTGAACTTTGTTAGATTGTTTTGGTGCTATTGGGAGCTTCAGACATCTTCCCTTCACACCCCCTGGTTATTTTCTACATGCAAATGCATCACTTTGTGGCACATTTATGTATGCTGATCTAAGCAAACCGGCTTTATAGGGAAAAGCGTGCTGAGAAATGATAATTCGAGATCTTTCGCTAGCAGGCACCGCTGAAAGTGCTACAATAAGGTCAGATTTTTCGTGTACTACCTATAGATGAGGGCGAAGCACGCACAGATGGCCTGTGTTGATGTTTGATTGACAGGCCCACAATTCCTTTAAGCGCATGCATCTGTGGGACAGGCTAGCCTAGAATTTTTAAAGCTGCTTTGTGTGAGTCCGTCAGCGACTAGATCTAGATTTTTGTATGCACGCTGTGTTCCTCATCACCATTATGAAAGAAATCTGACCCTCAAGGGAGAGTGCACAACCATATCTCATGTGGAGAGCAACAGCTCTTTGATGAAATGGAACTGTGTTTACCACAGAAATCTTTCAGCGTCCTCGAACACCGATCCCTGCGCTCTAATGAGAACACCACCCGAGCAAATAAACACACTAAGAGCTGCAGAGGGAAATGAGACTCCTCTGAACGTGTTGTACAGGACAGATGAAATGGCAACTATGAGTTGGTTGGGGTTGCTTCACAATATCTGTGAAAGCGCCTGTGAAATATTAATTCCACCAACGGAAGCCGCACACTTTATAATTAGGCACCATTATGAACGCAGCTGTACTGAGAACGGTTCTTGAAAATTGTTGGGTATTGCACATGAATTATAATATCAAACAAGCAATGATCTACTCTTTTGCAGCAAGTTTTTGCACATGATTTAGTTTTGCATGATCATTTTCAGAGATGCGAGGACCCTCTTGGAATTGCTCCGGTTTTGCATTCCACACCTTGCATTTCAAAGCAGTCCAATTCAGTATTTTCATATGTAACTTTAGGTTTGTGTTGGATTTGTAATGAAAAAAATATTAAATAAAATTATTTAAAACATTATTTAACAGTTTTAATTTGAACATAACTCACATAACTTTGTACCCACACCGTAAAAAAAAAATATATATATATATATATATATATAGTTGATAAAAAAAATTGTTATCACAACATTTTTTCTTTTGTCAAATCAACTTAAATAATTTATTTAGTTCAGATAACTTATTATTTTGAATTTCTGATGCTAAAATCAATCTCCATTGTTTTAACTCACTTTTTCCATTTCAATCAACTTAAAATTTTAAGTTAAAAGTTTAAGTTAAACCAACAATATTTTTTTACAGTGTGACTGGAATCACATTTAAAAAGTAAATGATTCCTTTTAATTTGAGTCTGATTTGATTTGGTTTAATTCGGGTCAGGTTCAATCCAAGGTTATTATGGTTAAATAAAACAATTAAAAACGTATTTATTAATGAACTTCTTATAACTTATTATTATTTTTTGTTAATTGAAATAACATAAAATGTAAATATTATATTAAAAATAAGTTTGTTGAAGCACTAAAACTAAACCTGAACCTTATTCATAAAATATGATAGTTCATAAATAATAGTATAGACCATTTCACAAAATGTAAACAACACTGGTCCAGAAACACTTCCTGTTTCAGTTTGTAACTGTTTTCTTTATTTCACATGTAAAGAAAACATCTTAAAGATGTTTGTTTAACTTTTTGATTCAGTTTTAAATGTTCTGTTGGTTGTATTTTATCCCAGCTTTTATGTAGTGTTAAAAAATTGAAACAGGAAGTGCTTCTGGAACAGTGTTGTTTACATCTTGTGAAATGGTCTATATAAAAAAAATTAAAAACTTAAAAAGTAGGGGACTTTAAGCTGTAGGACAGTATATGCTGGTGATAAAACTACATGTTCACTACTCACATTCTTTATCTGTTCTTCTGTGTTTGTGTATCTTGGTGTGTTAGGATCTGAACAGCACTCTGAAGAGTCTTCTGTCAGAATGGTTCTCTGTTGGGTTACTCCGACTCGAAAGAATCACTTGGCAGTCCCCTTGCGAGGTCCTTCAGAAGATCAGCCAGTAAGATCTCTCTCGTACATGCAAACATTTCCTTTTTCCTTTTTTTGACGTCCCAGTTGAGCCTTTTTTCTCTGATCTTACAGGTACGAGGCGGTGCACCCTGTGCGGAACTGGACGGATATCAAACGCAGAGTGGGTCCGTACCGTCGATGTTACGCCTTCACCCACGCTTCGATGCCTGGAGAACCACTGGTGGTGCTTCATGTTGCCTTAACTGAGGACATAGCAAATAACATCCAGGTAAATGCAAATGGCAATCACGTTTGTTTTTCATCACAAAGAATAATTGATGGCTGGGTGGTTAAAATTTTTGAGTGTAAATGTGTTATTGGGTCCATGAATGATGCAGGATCAGGCAAATGTATTCAGAGACAATAGTGGAGTAATGTACAGAGAACAAAGACAATGTGCTCAGAATGTACAGAAATCTGCCAATGCCTCCAGTGAGTCCCCTGTGAGTCTGTTACTATGTGCCTCTTATTTTCCCAGGGAATCGTGAGAGAGTTTGCCACTTTAGATGCAGAAGAGGATGTGAACAAGATCAATGCTGCCATCTTCTACTCCATCTCCTCCACTCAGGCTGGGCTGCAGGGGGTGGAGCTTGGAAATTACCTCATCAAGAGTGTAGTCCGAGAACTGCAGGTGGGCAAATGTAGGAGAACATAAATCATAAAGAGATGTTAGCGCTGCTTATGTTCATCACAGCTGTTTTAAGAATGATTGCATCGAAAATTTGGTAAATGAAAAATAAATGCTTGAAATCCGCCTATATATAATTCTATAATTATATAACAAACTATTATAATAATGAATCGATGATAAATTACTAACAGAATTCATAAATAATGAATAAATGATTTTAAATATTTCTTCAAATAAACAAAAATTATTAAGGGAAAAAAAAGAAATAAAATGTCAGTTTACCTATGGATTTTATATTTTTTAGCTGTCTAATAAAGTTAGGTTTTTAAAGAAATGTATATTATTATTAATATTTACATTAATTACATTGGGTTTAAAAAATACAATGTAACATCTTAAATTGTGGCACTCGTGGTGTGAGATGCTGAAAAAAACTATATACAATGCTTAAAACAATATATAAATAAAAAGGAATAAAACAATATATCAACTTATAAACCAGTTTTAAAGCCGCGTTGAAAGTCTAATCAATAGCCTACAGTCTTTACTGGTAAATTAAAATTTTGACTATATCTTTCTATAGCAGAAATAGTAAAGGTAATATGTGGTTTCTGTGTGTTTACTAAAAATGCTTATATGGTAATTTTCCAGTAAATTACCAGGTTTAATGTGTGAATGGGGCCTTTGTTAATCTATAATGTAATGTACTCAAAATAGCTTTGTCTAGATTTTGTCAACAAATACTAAATGCAATTTAATGCAATTAATTAAGCCATATTATGGCTTTTTGTAATCAATTCAATAAAGATTTTAACTGATTGACAACCTTAAATACTATAATATGTTTAATATATTTGTCCCACAGCATCACCTAGTGCCAGGCATTGTACATTTCATTTCATTTCATTCATTTTCTCTTCATTTGAAAGGGGACTGTGTACATTAATCAACAAGGAAACAACGTAAATGTACCTCAGTTAGCTCAAAAGTGCTTATTTTCATCGGTAATCTCCCAGCCTGGTGTAAAAAAAGGCAACCTTAAAAGATAAGCACAGGTTTAAAATCACAAAAAATTACATCAACACACTATGGTTAAGAAATACAATTCACATAAAACAAATATATAATGTTTAAGTGCACACAGAAATCATTTGTGCCCACAAGTTTGGCTCTCTACATATTTGTGCATTCTTTATGAAAAAATAGCCTGACCAAAAGCTGTTTTTCTCCAGGCGATAATGCAGTCTTCCCTCACTGCTGCTCTGGTTACCAACCTTTACTAGATCTAAAATGTATTTTGCATTATGCATTGAATGTTTCTATCTGGAAGGAAGAAAAAAGCAGAAAAACTAATAACATTTCAGCTGTCACCCTAAATAACATGAGGAAGGAGGGACACGTGGCATGTCACAGAGCTGCCTCTTTACTAGATGAAGGCGGAATTAAATGGAAAAGAAACGAGAAGCACTCAGGTTTATAGATTTGGATGAGTTTTTCTTCAGCAGGCGTGTTGGTGAAACAAAGTGCCGGGTGTCTGTTTGTGTAATAGAGGTAAACCCCAGTAAAGAGCACTCTGTGGAGGGCTACGCTTCTCTGAGTGCTGATTTACCCGTATGAGAGATTGAAGGCATCATTTGAGTGAAAATGACAGCTGATAGATTTTATTTCATGCAAATTGTGCATGTTGATGCTCTGGATTGGTGTTTGAATTAGATTGTTTTTGAAGTCTGTGTGTGTGCAGCTTGCTCATTTAGATCTCAGTCTATAAATATTCACATTAGCCTTACCAAAATACATTTTTTTCCACCAGTTATAGTTTTTACTATTGTAAATTATAAATTGATTTTTTTTCTTCTTAAGTACAGTGTCAAGTTTAACTGTTTAAACAAGTCAAAAAAAGACTTTCAGCTATTTTATTTAGCGACTTTAGGACTTTTGTCATTATTGTTGACACTGATTAAACTTGAGGAAAAGTTAGTGTAATCTTGTTACCTTTTAAAGGAGAACTCTGGCGCAAAATGAACCTTTGGTCTAATAAAAAATTGGTACCTAGTCAACCGTTCTCTGAGATTTGTTTTCATGATAATCGAATGTAAAGAGTTTTATCTCTAAAATCGGTTTAGCGTATATAACGCTAGTAATGGGGGCATTTAGTAAGTAAAAAGAAATCGCTAGTTTATACCACTAACAAGGCTCAAAATAGCCCCACACCAACACAGTAACATAATGAGGGTCCATACATGCAAAACGAACTGTTTACCAAGATGACTCGAAGGCCTGTATACACGAAGTGGACTGTCTTTATAAAGTATCTTCTTATTAAACGGTCTGTACACTTACACAGTTCTCAATGCTTCGTTTTGCATGTATGGACCCTCATTATGTTACTGTGTTAGTGTGGGGCTATTTTGAGCCTTGTTAGTGGTATAAACTAGCGATTTCTTTTTACTTATTAAATGCCCCCATTACTAGCATTATACGCTAAACCGATTTTAGAGAAAAAACTCTTTACATTCGATTATCATGAAAACAACCGATGTTTTATTACACCAAAGGTTCACTTTGCGCCGGAGTTCACCTTTAAGAATTGTTCACAAAAAGATTATTATTATTGGTTCTTCTATGATATCATTGCGAATACCCCCTTTTGGGGACCTATTTTTAAGCATGCGGTTACTTTATACATTCTTTCAAACTATAAAGACCTTTGTCAGGGTATCACCATATTTAAGTATTGACAGGAATGAAAACGAGGCAGTGAGGGATAGAATACAGTGCATTCAATGGATTGTACTGTTGTTTAACAACAATCCGATGAATTGTCTTTCTGAAAAAACTTTCAGTATACAAAAACTCCATAAAACAGTTGTGAAAATTTCACGACCCATGACCATTTTACAATTCCATTGTAAAAACTGTACATCTATTCCTCACATCCTCGTTTTCATTCAATATGGCATCTTACCTTACTAAGGTCTATAAACTTTAGACAAACACTTCTCAAGTTTTCAAGGTTAAGCAATGAGAACGATTTGGCTAGACGGTGGGAAAGCATCTATAGATGCCAATAAAGAAACTTGAGTGTCTGAGCTCATTCTTCCGCTAAATAAAGAGTAAAGGTGACTCACTATCCCACAAGGGGGTGATTGGCGTGATGGATGGATGATAGACAGAAAAAAGAGGTGAAGAATGGTATGATTTAGAAGAAGAGGAGGGTTTGCTTGTCTTTCAGCCGAATCCTCACAGGGCTCTTTTGCACTCACTTTCTGTCTTCACTCTCTTCTTGTCCTTACTCTTCATTTTCTCTCTTTCTCGCTCTCCGTAGCTTTAAACCTGCTGACCGATGTTTTACAGTAAATTGAGCTGATGAATGAAAAGTGACCCTTGGACATGCTTAATCTTCCTTCTCTCTGGCCTGTCTGAAGGAGTGATGCATGGCAAAGTATGAAAGCAAAAGAGAAGTGTGATGGACTTGAGATGTGGAGGACTTAAAATCTCTGCTCCTGTGGGGCCAGTCTGACACGTTTGGTTTGTTCAGTGCTTTCTTCTGGTTGAATGTGGGCTTGAGCGAGAGAGAGAAAATGAGTGTGTCTATGCCCTTGTGGGTGAAGAAGAGACACTGTGGACTTGTTCGACATGGTTTTTAAATCAGCACAAATGGAATGTGTGGGATAGGAAATAAGGAGAGAAAAAAAGATGAAGTAGAGCGGATATACTACTGTCCAAAAGTTGTTGTTTTTTTTTTTTTAAAATTAATACTTTTATCCAGCAATGATGCATTCAATTGATCAAAAGAGACAGTAAGTACATTTATTAAGTTATAAAAGATTTCGGTAATTCTTAATAATAACTGTACGCTATTAATCATGTGTTAATCATGAGTAATTCATCATTTATAAAGCATTAATAGACATTAATAAGCAGTTTATAAATACAGCTATAAATGCTTTTTTCATGATTATAAGCATATCGATAATGCGTTTAATAATTGTATTTTCATACTTTGTTAATGATCAATTAATCATTTCTAAATGAAGTATAGCAGTATTTACAAACCAGTTATTTAAGAGTTGTCAGTCATTCATAAGATCACTTAGAAAGTGTAAGTAAATGTAGTAAAATACAGGTAGTTATAAAGCATTTAGTAGTGGTCAGTTAACTATTTTGTGAGCTCATCTAAAGTGAGGACTATTCATGCATTTTATAAGGAGATTTAAAGCTGCATCAATCTTCTAAACAGTAAAATGTAACAAACACAACACAGTGATACAGAACATAGAAATATTTAACAGCCTTTAAATCTCCTTTATAAAGGCTTTACAAGGCCATGAATAGTCCTCACTTTAGATGAGCTCACAAAATGGTTACCTGACCATTACTAAATGCTTTCTAACTACTGAATAACAGCATAAATACATGTTAAATGAAATGATAAATTGATCATTAATAAAGGATGAAAATACAAATTTTATATATGCTTTTAAATCAAGAAGAAAGCATTTATAGCTGTATTTGTAAACTGTTTACTCATGCTTAACTAATGATTATTAGCATGTACCAAGATTTCAAATAAATGCTGTTCTTACAAACTTTCTTTAAGCAAAAAAGCAGCCCTACAGCTTTTAACATTTATAATAACAGTCAATTAGGATAAAAACAACACCATATCAGCATATTAGAATGATTTGTCAAGGATTATGATACACTGAAAAGTAATGCCTGCTGAACACTTTAATGGGATAGTTCACTTTGAAATTAATTTTTGACATGTTTTAGCTTAAGGGCATCCAAGATGTAGGTGTCTTTGTTTCCACAGTATTTTCAATTTTGACATTTTTCAGTCAAACTGTTGTCTATCAGTCATGTAATGGAGGTATATGGGGTCCTCCTCAAAAAGCATGCACAGAGAAGTCAAAATTGAACATGATTTAATGACTCGTAAATGTAAGTACACGTTGATGGCCTAAGACACGAAACGAGCAGTTTGTGTGAGAAAACGAACGGTATTTATATCGTTTTTACCTCTTGTAATCATAGCCATGACAAAATGATCTGACGGCACGGTCGCTTCGGTCTGCGCATGCGCCGGAAGTGATCGCTTGCGCGCCTACGTCACTCTTTGTTTATACAGAGATTTTGGAAGTTTTACCTTTCAATAAACATATTTAGATATACGGGAAACCGCAATGGAAGACGATTTCAGTATATCTAAATATGTTTAGTAAAAGGTAAAACTTCCGAAATCTCCGTGTAAATATTGAGTGACGTCACACGCAAGCGATCACTTCCGGCGTAACATTGAACTGATTCAGTTCGGTTCAGTTGGACATTGCACAACTGATTCAGATCACTTGGATTACACGAGGTAAAAACGATATAAATACTGTTCGTTTTCTCACACAAACCGCGCGTTTCGTGTCTTAGGCCATGAATGTGTACTTACATTTACGAGTCATTAAATCGTGTTTAATTTGGACTTCTCTGTGCATGCTCTTTGACGTGGACCCCCTTAGCCTCCAGTGTATGACTGATAGACAAAAAAATGTCAAAATTGAAAATACTGTGGAAACAAAGACACCTACATCTTGGATGCCCTTGAGGTAAGCTAAAACATATCAAAAACGAATTTCAAAGTGAACTATCCCTTTAAGTATTTTACAACATTACTATTTTTTACTATATTTCTGATCAAATAAAGGCAGGGATGGATAGATGGATGGATTAAATAATTTAGCAATGTGTGCATGTTAGTATAGATATTACAGACAGAGACTAGATAGAGTGATTGGGAGTTAACTGTCTGTTTATCTTTCTGTGCAGAGTGAGTTCCCCCACCTGACCCAGTTCTCCAGTCTGTCTCCCATCCCTGGCTTCTCCTCATGGCTGCAAGGGGTGCTCGGACAGCACAAGAAGGAGGGACGCGCCACGGAGCTCCTCTCTGAGCAGGAGTGGAGGGAGGTGGAGGATGTGACGGGAGCTGCTCCCGGTGCTCCGGCTCTGGAAGCCCTGCGCAGGCTCATCGGCACCAGCGAGTGGATCCGCTCGGATCGCCTGCTCCGCTCTCTGGAACCTGCGCTAATGCGGCTCTGTGCCTGGTACCTGTATGGAGAGAAACGGCGGGGCTACGCCCTAAACCCTGTGGCCAACTTCCACCTTCAGAACGGTGCCACCATGTGGAGGCTGAACTGGCAAGCGGACATCAGCCCGCGGGGCATCGCCAACTCCTGTGGCATAATGGTTAATTATCGCTACTTTTTGCAAGAGACCAGCACTAACAGCGCTGCCTACATGCAGAATAAAGTCATTAAGGTCTCGGAGCAGGTGCTGGGGCTGGTGTCGCAATTCCAGAAGAGCAGCAAACTCTAAATCAAATCTCTGGCTCTGCATTTGAACAAGATGATATGCACTTAAATTCAGGGTTATAATTTTTAATATCTGATCTGCACTGGATGGATAAACGTAATGAGGGTTAAACAAGCCTTTTACAAATCCATTGGGCTCTGCGACTGAAACCAGATTATATCACATTTCATTTTTAGTTGAGATGGACAGTTGTACTCTGCCTTTCTGAAAGACAATTTAATCTCATTTTAAAAGGGACATTTACTCACCCTGAATACCTGTATGAATTTTTTCCTTCCTTCCATCATATATATGGTGTCCAAAAAATAATGATAAAGCATTAGTAGTCTATGTGATTTGTGCACTATATTAAATGTGGATTTTTTTTTTTCATTTCAAGAGAAGAAAAGGATAATTGTCCAAACGATTCTATTTGCCTGGGCCCTTTTCAGCAGTGCGTTTCAGTTTGATTAGCTGGTTGCTGATTTTGATGTGGACTTATGCTCCATTTTGAAAGACTGTGGGTAATGAAGCAGGAAAAATCTATCAGCCCCTGTCATGTCTTTGCCTTCTCAGCGTGTGTATATAAGAGAGCGTGCCAGCGCGACTGAGTGGAAGCTGCTGTAATAAATGATGTTTTGATTCCTTCATTAGTGTGATCTGATTCACTGTGAAATGGCTGTCTGTATTCAAATGTGACTAAATGTGCACAAAATTGTGTGCAAGCTAAAATGATTTATTTATATATAAAAATTCTACCTGATTTTCTTTCTTTTGTTTCTATTCTAAACATGATGTGCTATCGTGGATGTTTGATCGATATTGGGCAATGGAGGATGTTCAAACGTTTTTAACAGGAGGACAGCACACTATCTCGTTGGGCCAGATCCTATCACATTTGAACAGATCTGTTCCATGGCGTTTTAACTGGCGGTGTTTAAAGAGATTTAGCACTCTCCAGCAAGCACTTTATTCCTCCGTGACTCCGGTGTCTGATAACAGACTGCAGTGTTCAAGTAGGCCTCCTGTCTTTTTCTCCCTCTATTGTTGTGTAAAGTATCGCAGTGTAAGTTGACTGTGAAATTGCATTTTTAACTCTTAAAGGAGGCACGCATCTCCCCCCTCTCTCCGTGCGGTGCCCTAAAATCTAATCAAGTGAGAAATAAAGCTAAAATGAATTGATGATACATTTGTGATATTCACTTAAACTGAGCATGAGGTGGAAACGTAACAAAGCGGACAATGTTTAAAGGATGCCCTTGAGAAACTCCTCCCACAGTGAGAGAGGAAGTAACCTTACTTTTAAGAGGAAAAACACATCTGTAGTCACAGGCCCAAGGCTGGATGGCCTTTCTTCAAAACATCAAGTGCTTTACTATGAGGCAAATACATGAGGTTACCATGGCAACAGCTGGGCAACTTAGGGTGTATTCAGACCAGGAAAGTCCGCTAGTTCACTTGGTCCGAACCAAATACAATGTTGATTTTTTTTTGTTTTTTTTGAGAAAAGTCAGAGAACATCTGACCCTGAAAAAAGTGCTTTCTGCAATTAGGTCGGTTTATGTTCACACCTTAAAGGAGTAGTTCACTTTTGAAAAAAACTTTTGCTGATAATTTACTCACCCCCATGTCATCCAAGATGTCCATGTCTTTCTTTCTTCAGTCGAAAAGAAATTAAGGTTTTTGAAGAAAACATTCCAGGATTTTTCTCCATATAATGGACTTCAATGGGAACCAGACGGTTCAAGTTCCAAGTACAAACTGAAAACTTGTACAAAGGGCTTTAAACGATTCCAGACGATGAATAAGGGCCTTATCAAGCGAAACGATCGCTCGTTTTATACATAAATAACAACGTTTAAGTTTTATAAGCTCAAACGCTCGCCTTGCTCTGTTCTGTAATGCACTCCTGTTCGAACTCGTTCATCAAAATGAACAAATCTTTTCCCAAGTCATTTGGTTCATTCGGTGAAAGAAACGAACGAATTGATTCGTAAAAAGATTTTGTTCATTTTGTTGAACGAGTTCGAACAGGAGAGTCACGAACGTGCACCACAGAACAGAGCAAGGCGAGTGTTTGATCTTATAAAACTTAAACTTTGTTATTTTTAAAAAAAATTTGCGATCGTTTCGCTTGATAAGACATTTATTTATCGCCTGGAATCGTTTAAAGCCCTTTGAACAAGTTTGCAGTGTGTACTGAAAGTTTCTTTTGGAACTTGAACCGTCTGGTTCCCACTGAAGTCCATTATATGGAGAAAATCCTGGAACGTTTTCATTAAAAACCTTAATTTCTTTTCGACTGAAGAAAGAAAGACATGGACATCTTGGATGACATGGGGGTGAGTAAATCATCAGCAAAAGTTTTTTGAAAAGTGAACTAATCCTTTAAACAAACCGTATCAGAGTTTGTTTGGAACCAGACCGAGACCCCCTCTTCAGCTGGGTCTCGGTACGGTTGTTTGGTCCGCACTCGAGTGTGATTGCTGTGTTCACACCTGCCCAAAAGATCCACACCAAGGGGTAAATGAACTTGAGTTCGATTTAATCAAACCAAACAAGGCAGGTGTGAATACACCTGTAACTTCCACGACACGGTTCAAATGCAGTGCATTTGTCCTCTTCAGATTTTTTTTTCCCAAATCTGAGGCTTGTTTAATAAAAAATATGTGTCTGTTTTGCATTATTTGCATGGTTTTAGTAGTCTGGGTTTCCCCATGCTGCCTTCCCGCAGCGCGATTTAATTCAGCTTTGTACAAACTTTATTCTGTTTTAATTACTGTTGTTAAACACAGGAGGCAAATCAGTGTTGCGTGAATTATTCAATGATTCACAAACAAATTGTTTGAGTGAATGATTCAAACTTGTTTCATATACTAAATGAATGTGTTGTTGAAAGACTTGACTCAGCGAATGATTTGACCCATGCGCTTCATGTAGAATAAATCGTTTGAGTAAATGATTCAATGACTCCCTACAATGGAACCTGTAGAAATAGCTAATTAATGAAAACCGTCCACCACTCTCTTGAATGTTCAAACACAGAAAAGCGGAGAGATCCAAACAGTGAAAAGCCTCAGTATTGCTGGACTGTTATATTGCATATTGGCTTCTAATAATACGAAGTTGCGTAATATGATACTGTGTTAATATCACTGATCTGCCAGACCAGAATAGCAAGACTAGATCTAAACATGCCTTCAAGACCTCAAAGAGCATTTCAGAGTGACCTAGAATATTATTCAGCACAATATGTTAATCAACACACCCGGAGCTACCGGCCAACCGCGCATTAACATTTTAGTGGCCATTTGTTAATAATTACAGGCTGGATGGATTAGGAGGCACTTTACACCCTTTTTAATGGCTGTGAGCTTGTCATTACAGTTAAGTAAAGCACATGCTGAACAATGTTCAATTGCCCAAATTTTCCAATAGCACATTAATCAACTTGCTGTTTGATTGCCAGTCTTATGGATTCCACATGCAGAAAATATGAGAATTCTCACTTTTACATTGATGTGCTACCTGAGGTCTTCTCGCAAACCATTTTTTAATTGAGACACAGTAGCTATTGCATTGTAGCATGCTCATAAAAATGCATGTGAAACGATGGATATGAGAATGGGCTGAAATGAGCAAATCTGCGGTTTAATACCTCACTGAATTCGCACAATAAGTCATTGAGGTGGAGGATTTCACTGAAAAGGTTACCTTGGAAAGACAGCTTAGTCCAAAAAAAAAAAGCTGGGCATCGAGACGGGAAAAAGTGATTTTACTGTCTTTTGATAAGACTGTGGAATTGGTCAAGTGTATAAGGGAAATGAAAGGAAAGAGTGAAATTGGCTCTTATTTTTCATTTAAACATACAGAAAAAGGGTCTGAAATTGTACAATGTGGCATGTGAAATTTTCAAGTGTCACGTGACTTGGTTTTAAACACATTTCAGTTGTTCAGGTCGACACCCCAATGCAATATAAAAGAGCATTAACAAAGGCCTTTAAGAACAGGGATATAATTGGTTCAATCATATAGAATAATGTTCTTTACATGAATTGCTCACTAATGTATCTGCAGGTGAACCATTCTTGAAAACTTTAAAGTATTAAAAAGTTCTCTTTCTTTCTCCCTGCCTATCTCTCTCAGGGCTGGAACATTGGGGGCCTCAGCTGTATAATTAATAACGCTTGCTTCATTTCACTCTGTAAGGGCAAACTGCAACAAAAGATTCAATTTAGAAAAGCGCTTTCATTTTTATCCATATCATGATGACTACTGGCAGATGTTGGCAAGAGGAGAGGATATAAGCAATGTACCTGGATAAAGATGGACGGGGTCGGATGGAGATATTCTACGCTCCACCGTGTGTCCTGAGTGTAGAAACTAATGAACTTAATCAGTCTTTAAGGATACCATTACTACCAGTCAACTGACCATAACACTGCACTTATTGAGAGAATAACCGATGAGAGATGATATCCGATATATTGCGTTTAAAGCTCTTTTGTGATTGGCTGAGTGGGAGTGGAATGATCCATGTTGAAAGTGATCATGGGTGTTATAGTTCCCTGGGTAATTTGAAGCTAAATGAGGTTGGATTGTCCTCCATCAATGGCAGCTGCTTCCCCAGTGTAGGTCAGGTGTCATTTCCCTCTCAGTCTCATCTGCATAGGCTAATGGAGGCAAATGGTTTGGTAATTTATTCATTCCTAGGCTGATTAAGGTTATACTGTGCCAAAGCGCTTACCTGGTCATTGGACGGTATGATTTCAGTCTGTGAACTGTTCTAGGTTTATAATGACTAGAAGTAGTATTAGTGCTTTACATAATTCAATATTCTTATATGTCGTATTTTTTTGTAAATGAGCCATTCCGCCGAAAGGGTGACATTTACGTATAAAATTGCATGAAAATTGTCTCTAAAATACATTTTATTATTAAGCAAAATGTCATGCACATTTAGCTAACTACAAATTTAAAATATATAATTAAAAACATGAACAAAAACGACATAGAACACTAAAAAATAGCATTTTCTGCATCTCTATCTCTAAACTTTACCATGAAATATTATGATTAAAATCCTTCAGAAATCTGATTTTTCTTGCATTGTTGTGTGACTTTATATCCACACTGCTTTAAAATGAAAAAAGAAAAAAACATTTGATCTAATATTTTAGATAAAATAAAAATTATAGTCAAGTCCCCAGGTTTTCACTCAGTCCTGTTACACTATTACATCCCCCTGCTGAATAACGTATAATATTCCACAAGACACATTTTCAACAGTAAGTTTCATCATCTGGATCTTCTGAAGGCAATGGGGTGACTATAAGCCACTCCTCTCATTTTCGTTTCATATATTTGATGAAATTGTAACTATGAATGAGAAAGTCAATCTCAACATACAGTCCTGTTACCTAAACGTTTTATTAGATTGAATTGTTTTATTTAAAAAATATTAACTTTTGGTAAGGCACTAGAAATGGCTCAGTGTCCTCACGCTATTAGCATCAATTCTATGTGGCCATATGTCATATATTTGATAACTTTTTGCTTAAAAACTCAATCCTGTTACCTTCAGTCCTGTTTGAACATATAACAGTATATAACATATAACAGTTTCTTTAAAATAAACACTTTCTTGTGGGGAAAACTAAGGAATTAATTGACATGCTTCTAAACTTGCTTTTTAAATGACACATGATTTTTGGATTGAGAAAACATGCGTCCATATTCTGCTTAAACCTTGTAAAAACCTTG